AGTTTATCTGACATAGTAACACTATTTTTAAAATACTCTAAAAATGGAACAAAAGGCAAATATAATATGGAAAAAGGTATACAGAGTAAGTTGCAAATAGATTGTCGCGATACTTGTGTCGATTTTAATAGAATAAAACGTTCAAATAAAGAATTTATTGTTATAAAAATACCTTTTAAAAGCATCTTCCTGTCATAAAAAGTTGTAGTCTTTATAGATTTTTTTAAATAGCACCATAGGTTTTTCTTTTCTTTGCACCAATAAATTCTTTATTTTACATAAATGCCTTTCATTTAAATATTTTTTTTATGAAACTATCAAAACCAGTTCAAGTATTCAGACAACCAATTCACAAATTATCCTGTATAATTAAAAAGCACTTTCATTGGACAAGTGTCAACGTTATACTTTTCAAGGAATGCTAGTTTCATAGACGGGAACATCTACATCTAAAATGTATAAATACACTATTGTGTAACTTACTTTTCTTTGTATAAATTCTTAAACAATAAACGCATATTATCAATAACAAAATATTAAAGATAAATCGACTAAGAATTATTTACAAAAAGTTTGCGTTCTATAATACTTCTACACATTGGACAATCTGACGTAATCATATTTGCACAATTTGAACAGCAACAAAGATGTCCACATGGTAGAAAAATTACTTCGCACTATAAGAAAGACAGAGTCATTTATGAAATGATTTACTAATTTGAAGTAAGGTATTTGATCTAAGTAGTTCAATTGCTTTACTTACTTGTAAATCAAGGCAAATTACACATTCAGCAGTATTAATAGTCTGCATTGTGTTATGTTCTTGGTAATCTGAACTTGTACATGCTTCGTCAAGCGGTGCAGAAGGTGTTACAGGTGTTCCACATTCATGAAGTTTAACCTCTGCCATATAATTTTCAACTGCTTGTCTTATAGCTGTACGATCATTTTCACAATGTATTCCAATCTATAATGTAAAAATATATACGATTTATAGTATAACAGTAAGTATTGATTACATATTTAGAAGTTTTATTTAACTTACGCTTTTTAATTGCTCATCACTAAGATCTGGTAATAACGATGGTAAGGAGGCTAGAAATGGTAAACAATGTAATGCTCCAGCTATTGCAACGTGCCGCACTAATGTAGGTTCCAGCATTTCTAATAAGCCTTGAGGCCGTGCTTCCATTAATGACTGATACTGCATCAACCAAAATTGACTCCTTCGTCTAGAATCCTTTGAAAATGAAAGTACTATATAGTAATTGTTGAAATAATAGAAAGAAAATTAAACTTATACTTACACCAATGGAACGTTGTTGTTCTATATTATTAATTGTTTCCAAAAGCTGGTCTCTCCTGGTTTTTTGTTGTTCTAATAAGCTTACTAGAATAACGCTCAAAGCCACTCTTTTCTCAGCTATTTCATTCTATTGCATAAAATCATGAAACATTTTTATATTAAATAAAATAAAATATACATAGCAATAATTAATATTACATACAAGTTGTTGATTAATTTCTAATTTCCTTCTTTCCAATTCGATGTTTGTTAAAGCAGCTAATTGCGACTGTACCAAGTTGACTTGTTGCACAATACTCCAACAACGTGTATCACTGCGTTCTAGTAACGCCGCAACGGCAGCTTTTTGTAAAACTTCATCTTGCCTTAATGTATCGATTAAATTTTGTCTGTTCTTCTCTTGATTTTGTACTATCTGTGCTAAATGATCATTATTTCTTACTTCTCTGAAAAGTTTATTATACTTGTAACATAACAAATTACGTTTATGTTTTCATAAGATATTGGAAACATGATTGTCAGTGATTTACTAACAATGTGAGCAAAGATTGTGCAGCATAATCTCTATATTTGCTGTGTTCTTCCAATTGTCTTGTTCTATGAAGTTCTTCTTCCAATAACTTTTCCATCGATACTGTAAGAAAAAGTATGTCTATATACCTAGTTCGAGCTGCGGTAATTTAACGATGACATAAAGTGTTACAAATTTTTAGTACATACATAGAGTATCTTTGGTTCGAAACAAAAATTGTTCTGAATGACAAGAGGATAGTATTTGCATTTCCTCATGTTTTTCTCGTTCGAGTAATTCAGCTTGCGTCTGTCTTTCTGCCTCACTAGTACTTAAAAATTCTTTAATAACATTATCTGCTTCTTTTTCAGCTGAAAGTAAAAGTAAAAGCTTAGGTTACGCTACAAAAACAGATATATTATTTTTTTTTAATTTACCATTGTAAATGTAGGAAAGTAGACGTGCTCTGTTAAAATCTCTTTCTTGTTGAACCTTCTCAAGTTCCTGTTCCAATTGTGTTTGTTGTAAAGCAAGATCCTTCAGAAGCTAGCAACAAAAATAATTTAAAGATGTAAATTTAATATTCTATAAGAAAAATATGTTGAAAATTAAATACCTTCTTTTTGTGTTCTTTTAGCACAGATTGAATACCGATTTCATATTCTTGTTGTTGCCTAATAGTTTTTTCCACTTCCAATAATGCATTTTGTCGATGCTCCTGCAAAAATAGTTTAATTTTTATATTATAACGATTCGTTTAACATAACATAATCAATTAATTTTATTCTAACAAATTGTAATAAATACATTTGTTTGAAAATAAGTGAAGCAAACATAAGCATTGTTTAAATATATTGACATAATAAGAATAAGAGGAATGTATACAATAAATTAATTTTTTAATACGCAATAAATAAAAATTAAATCTCATAGTGAATAATATTAAATGTGCAGGAAGACAAATTTGAAAGCATAATAAAATAAAAAAAGCATCCACATGCCTTCATTTTTTCTAGCTTCTGTAATGCTGCCTAAAAATGAAAATAAAAACATTTAAGACACACTGTGCAAGTACGACATCAAGAATCACAGTCCTGTAAAGTAAAGTACCTGTACATCATTGTTCTTATTATGATATAGCGTTTGCATATCTTCAGAACTTATGTCTCTGGATAATTCTGCTTCTGAAACAGACTCTTCTGGTGAATATTCTGTACCACTCTCATTCGCTAAAAATGCTACAATTACTATTGTGCCTCCTTTTAAAATATCTTCAGGTGGGTAGGATAGATTTAACCCATCAATGTTGAATTCCGTCAACTGTTGTGCATAACCCAATGATTTAGGAAGCTTTTGTAGAGATTTATTTTGACTTATGTCTAACACAGTTAGAAGCTTTAGCTTACCAATTGCTTCGGGCAATTGTTTCAAATTATTTTTCGCAACATTTAATGTTGTTAATTTACTTAGGTATACTATTTCATTTGGCAGTTTTCTTATATTGTTGTCTTGTAGATAAAGTTCCTAAAAGTATCCATAATTAAGAAATCATAATTAATGATACATAAACTAGTTATGTATGCAATTAATACATATTTTATTTACATATACCTTGAGTGAAGAAAGACACATTATGTCCGAGGGTAAGTTGGTAAATTCGTTTCCATGTATATCTAAGACAACAAGTAAAGACAAATCGCTTAAGGCACCTCCACCCAAAAGTGAAGTCAACTTATTATTATGCATCCATAGCACTTTTTTTCTGAATACTTTACACAGCGAATAAATGCCCGACGGCACATTCTTTAAAGCACATTCTGATACGTCAAATATTGGTTCCGGATTTTCTCTGGCCTATCATAAAATACAGATACGTATATTTTAATATTAATGTTGATTACATGTACGAAATAAAGTTGTATCATCGATAATTGATTCTCTATTTCTATACAATGAAAAAATAACGTTTGTTTATTTTGGTGAATTAAAATTTGTTTACGAACGAATTTAACAAGTTAAATTAACATTAAATACTCGACAATTCTGCAGATAATCGTGAAAAATGAATAAAATATTATGTGACAATTAATTTGTGTAGAAAAGAGAGTGAAAAGTGACAGAATCAAGGTTACTTGGGTCATGAACGAGATGAATGATTAACCTCTATTCATTAAGAAACGTACCAGATATAACTTATGTTCGAGCCGTGCTTTATAATCGACGTTAACCTTGTTCCCATGCTTCTTTGACAGAGACATTATTAATCGTTTATGTCATGACAATAGAAGAATATTGTGAGTGCAGGTCATCCTGCTATCGGCTTATCTCAAACCACCATCACGTGATTCCGTGATTGCGTGTACTTTAAAAAACACTAACCAATATTTGTCAATTTGACAGTTACTTGATGAAACGTACAGCGATGTACCTTCATATCCGTAGACCCCGTAGCACCTTGTGATCTTTTTTTAGAAGACCGATAAGAACACAATTGCAAATAGACGATTTACAATCAACGAGAAACGAAACGAAAAATGGACATGGTATTAAATAATATACGATGTTAACAACAATTTAAGTGTTTTATTAAACCACACATTATTACCATACAAAGAAACAGGTTCATAAATGTCATATAAAACTTTGAATACGTGAGAATGGGACAGCAATTCGTTTAATTTTTACATATTTCAATGTGCTGTTCGATTCTCGTATATTTCAAATCGTGCAATAATTAACAGCAACGTCTATCGAGTTTGAATTTATAAATTTATAGATTTATAAACTGGTTGTTTTTCTGCATTAATATTCACTAGATCAACTTCTATGATACTGTAGTAGATTTGTGTCAATAAACGGTCTAAAAAATAGGCAGTCAGTATGTATAGATTACTTTCTAAAACTCGGTACAACTAATTCGAATATTCCGTTCGTTAAAGAGGTAAAGTCTTGTCGTGTGTCCTATACGACTCGTATCTAAAATCTGAAAATACAATACTGGGCTATGTCTTTTTCTATGAGCTCGTATCGCTACTCGATTTTGATATTGGGTACCAACTTCTTCTTCTTCTTCTTCTTTCTTTTTTTAAACATTATTTCGATATTATTCTTATATATTTCTCATATATCATACGATATTGTTCTCGTTGTTTAAATAAATCTAGCCAAAGTCATCATTTATTACGCAAGTAGGACATTGTACAAGTAGATGAAGCAATCATCCAGCAATTTTACGGTTTGTTATCAGTTCTGAAATAATTTCTTCTGCCTCAACCGATATTCTGTTGGTGTAAGCATGCCTCTGAAAGATAAAATGATATTTTTTTTAATTACATTTAGTATGATTACAGCTTACAGGAATGCAATATCGTTCGTAATTACGCGAACAATTTGAATTAAAATTTATTGCGCTTGAAAATAAAAATCGTCTCACATGGCAAGTTTATAAATTAAATTATAATGTAATAATTTAGTTAAATAGTTATTTGTTAAGTTTACGGATATGC